TGATACTGTTGGGCATGCGTGCAAACAAGATCCGCTTGAGATGAATGCCGTCGTCGAGGTTTATCTCCGTCACTCAGTAATCGACTATGAGAGGAGGGCATTTTGAGAGGCACGAATGAAGTGACTCGCGCAAGGCCTCGCTGCCACTACACTGGGTACCTAAGCGGCAGTCGACCTGCTTGCCGCTCAGCACTCCGCTCTCCAGCACCACCCCAAAGACGTCTCTCCTTCCTCGTCTTTTCATTCGGAGTCCATCTTTTCCTGCTATACTGCGCCGACGGCTTGGCATTCTCCTTGTCCTCTGTTCGGCCAGCAGCGGGATGAGCGAAAAAGAAGGGTCGGCACGACATGGATGCCAGGTCCGGGGTGTGATCATGGATGACATGGTGGTGGTCGCGGTGGTGGTGGCAAGACCGCCTACGACCGAAAGCACGCACAGCAAGCACACTCCGGTAGGCAGTGAAAAGGCAAGCAAAGCAAGGCAGCTACGGCGGATGGTACAGCGGAGTGGGGGGTTGGAGGAACCCACTCCCCTCTCCCCCCGTCGTTCCTGTCTCTCTGTGTCTGGCTTGTCTGTTCGAGCCGCGATGTCGATATTTCAGGGCCCGGTGACGTGCTCGGCTGTGCGGGGCCACACCCACGGACAGAGAACGCTGGGGCCAAATTCCGCCCCAATATGTGCGTCCCTAGTTGGGCGTATTGCTCCAAGTGTAACATGACAGTCCGCTTTCTAGGTGGGCTGGGTAGGGAAGTACACGGTAGGTGGGCAGATAGGTACAAAGTAGCAAGTCGGTACGTTTTTCGCTTCACGCCGCAGCAGCGAACATGGTTCTCGCCAGGCAGCCAAAAACAATCGAGCATATATATTCTTAAATGTAGGTACATGGAGCTTCAATCAGCAGCTCTCCTGTGTGAAGCCTTCGGCAGCCCTTCCCATGACACGTTGCCTAGCCCCTGGCGCTTGCCTGCCCGGTCTCTGGGGGATCCGGACGAAGGCGTGACTGCGTCGCGCGGACGCAATGGCGTGCTCGATTCAGCGGGTGGTTTTCTCGTGGCGGGAAACTTCGCCCTCGTGCCTGCCTGCCTGTCTGCCCGTCTGTACGTACTTCAGTCTGTCTGCCATCAGTCGCCTCTCCTACCCTCCTCATCTGCCCCCCCCCCTTCCGTCCTGCCCGCGGAGATTTACCAAACCTTGGTCAAGCCCCCCTCCACCGTATCCTCTTTCTTGTCTGCACCTCGCTTTCCTGTCATCCGATCCTGAGACCTGAAGGGGGGTTGACGTGATGATTGTCTACGAGTAAGCGTGGGGGTTTGGTGGAGCGGGAAACTCGACGGGGAAGGGGAGAGGAGCGGACAAGGGGCGGCAGAGTTTGGTTCTTCTCTGCAACCTTGCCTACGTCTTGCAGCGGACCGCGATGGTACCATTTCACCGAGGAGCCAACGTTGTGGCCCCTTCTGGCAGGTCGGAAAGGGGTTGGGGGGAGGGGGGTTTGGGATGAATGGCTCCTCCCTCTGGATCCATCACGGCGAATCCCTCGGTGGATGTTTGTCAGAGTCTGCTCTCGCCGTCTCCATCGGTAATCATACCAAGAATGCACTGGAGAAGGCAATTTGAGGCCAGCCGCGACGGAGAGGGCCCGCCAGTGGGGGTTTCCGGCGGTCATCTTTCATTCAGCTCGGGTAGCAGGCACGGACAGAGAGAACAGGGCATGGTCTTGGGAGAGGGAGAAGGAAATTTCGTTTTGGTCAAATCTGTCTTCTGATCCAGGAAGATCACGGCTAAACCAAACATATGCACACGCACACAGACATGCCCACAGGCCAACCACCACGTCGGGTTTCAGTGGGGATGAATGAGCTCGCCCTCCCGGATCAACGCGACGCCCATGTCTGTATTGTCGTGTTTCTCCGAGACCCGAGAGCTGGCCCTCGACACAGCCAGCCGGCCAGCCAGGCCCATCTACAATAGCCACAGCCGACGGAGTTGAAAAGTGTTCAGGAAGGGGTGCGAATAGTGTGGCGCGGCCCAGACATCCCCGGCCTAGCCCCCCTGGTCAGGCTGGCACAACACTGTGACCCCTATTTCCCTCACCTGGTTTGTTCGACGCTTACCAAGGTTCCAACGCTCTGACTGGGAACTTCTTTTTTGGATGCCGCAAGAGCGGTCAGGGATGGCTGGGAGACAGGCGGACATCCCACAATCAGCTTCGATCGACCTACTCCTCGATCGCGCTACCCATTGTGGATGTGCGGTACCTATCACCAAAGAGTCAGCACTCGCGCGACTTGAGACGGGCCTTCCGATGTATCCTCTTCGGCCGACATACTTGGTGATGACCCTCTCGATACCGTCGCATCCCTTGCGCAGCACGTCCATCTTGGGTCCGTACGAGAAGCGAACAAAGTGGTGGCACGAGCTGTCAAACAGGTCACGGCGCATGGAAGGGTTGAGGTCGAAGAAGATGCCGGGCACGACAATAACCTTCTCCTCGAGGCAAGCCTGGAAGAAGTTTAGGCCATCGGCGATGGGTCGGGGCAGACCCTCGAGGTTGAGCCACCTATTCAGTCAGCGAAGAACCGACGAACGGGGAAGAAATACACAGGGAAAACGAAATCGATCCCCAAGTAGGCGAAGACGGGAGATGAGCAGGATACTCACAGGTAAAAGGTCGAGTCGGGCACGTATTTGATGATAAAGCCCATCTCGCGGAGACGCTTCACGACATAATCACGCTTATCCTAGCAAGGATATTAGCTCAGGGGTTCTCTCCATCTCTGTCGTGATGCGGAACGAACTCGGAAGTGCGTTTGGAGATGGATCATCTCCCTCTTAACAAGCTCAGGCTCGAGCATGGGAATCGCAGCCTCCTGGAAGGGGTGGTTAGCACCTCCATCGAGGTAGCTACCACAAGATCCGATGCTGCATAGGTCAAGTCAGCTGATGTTCCATTTCGTGGCATCGGGGCTGCCCTTGCTGCATACGCCTTGATGTACTCCTTGGGTCCAAGGATCCACGCGATACGCCAGCCGGGCAGACGGAAGCGCTTCGTCAGGCCGTCGATGATGAGGACATCATCCTCGTCGACATCCTCGACATTCTCGGCAGCAGAGATCGTGGAGCCGTCACAGTCACTGGTGTAATTGTAACCAGAGTAAAACTCATCACTGATGAAGGTGGCGCGGCCACGGCAGAGGTGCTGAATCTCGGCAAGCTCGGGATTGCAGACGACACGACCAGTGGGATTCCGGGGGTTCGAGGTCAGAATGACAGAGGAGCCGCGAGCAATCTCCTCAGCAATCTTATTGGGGTGGATGTGGTAACCGTCTTCCTCGGACAGGGGCACAGGGATGGCGGCAAAGTTCTTGAAGAGGGACAACATCTCGTTGTAGGCAGTGTAGTCAGGCAGGAAGAAGGAGAGATACGAAGATCCTAGAACAGCGGCGATACGGATGAGGCCAGCGCGACCGCCAGGGACGATGGCAACGTTCTCCCAGGTGTATTGGCTCTCCTTGCCCTTGCGGTGCATGTCATTGTAGAGGTTGGCGACGGCCTCACGCAAGGGCCGGATGCCGGCGGTGGGGCCATATTCACGGCCAGCGACGGAGATGTCGATCATTTGGGGCCGCTCGAAGCAGCCGGTAATGTCGTCCTCGACCTCGGGAGCGCCCTGACCGAGGTTGGCCCACTCTTCGGGCTCCTCGAGATAGCCATACTCAGAGGCGCGCTCGGTGCACCAGACGACGCCGGTCGAGGCGCGGCTCGCATCGAGACCGGCATGGGGCATGTGGCCATCCTGGCGAAACTGCCTATGGGTGCGCGACTGCGTTTCTGGAGGGTCGTCAGTCGCAGCCGGGAGACGGAGCTGAAGGTATCGGCAGAGGTTGGGTTAGACATCGGAGTACGGAGGGAACGGGGAGGTAAGCCGGCGCCGTCATCGGAGTGCCAAGACGGGAGGAGCCAGGGTGAAGGGGGGAGGGGGGGAGAATGTGATCTGTCAGGTCAGACAGGTCCCAAATGCAGATAATGGAGGGGCTCACAACGGACCCCTCCTCTGCAGTCTTTCGAGACGGTGTATCTGCGATTTGACCGACTGATCAACTGGGCCCTTGCGCTTGCGGCCCATTGCCCTCAGACCCTCCCCAGAAACTCAGACCTCAGGACCCCGCACTATTGGCAGTCTCTTTGACTTCGCCGTCTCGCTGGGTGCTTTTCAAGTTGAACAAGGCAGTCTCGTAAATGAGAGAGCAAGGAAAAGGAACGAGACCAAATACTGATTCCACGGCGGCAGGGGAAAATGAGACGAGTCAGGGACGGACTCACCGCTTTGGGAGGGCTCTCCAACGCTGAACCTCCGGGCGCCGTGAGCACCGGCGACGGGCTTGGGGACGCCGGTGTGGCGGTTGATGGAGAACTTGCGGTTGGCGAACATGGCGGGCAGCGTTTCTCGTCTGACCAGGCAACGGGTAATCAATACCTACCTAGGGTAAGACAGGGCAGCAAAGACGGGGAAGAAAAGTGGTGTGGAAAACTGAGTTCGAGACCTGCAAACCAAGGATGCAGTCGAATGACGTTGTTGACAAGACAAAATCAGAGGCAGAGGGCAGAGCAGACAAGAGGGCCCGCTTGGCAAAATTGGGCGTCGATGGCGTTTCTTGATTATAAGTACGCAGGATGTTAACCCAGAAGCATGAGGAGGGGGGCCGACAAATGGGAGTACAGATGCAGGTGCACGCGTTTTTGCTCGATCCCGTCGCTGTATTCTTGATTCTCGCTTCCCGCTTCCCGCTCCTCGCTTCTCGTTTGTGTCGTCTCGTGCCGTCTACCCATCCACTCCCAAAAGGCAAAGGCCCCTCAGAGCCACCCACTCGAGATAGGCACGGGAGCTTCAGGCCCCTGGCTTGTTGGTCTGTGTCTGTGTATCGCGATTCGAGGCAGGGCCATGATTGGAGATGATCAGGGCCTCGCAGGTACCGTCAACGCCCGAGCATGGCATGCTGGTGGGGGGACTCGGGGCGCTTGGGACGCTTAGGGCCCTGGTGTAACAGAGCTCCTCAGGCTTTCAGGCTTGTCCACCTCCGCCGTTGAGCGACACCCCGCTGCCTTACGTAAGGCAGCCCGGTCTTCACCGAATACAACGGGGCCAACACACCGCTTGTATGGCATCAATGACTCGTAGCGGGCACTCTCTGTACCCCGCGTGCCCGATGTCGGTGACGCTCTCGCAGGATGCGAAGGTGATTTTCCTGCTAGACGGAGAGATCAGAACGGAGAGATGTAAACAAGGAAGGATAGAGGAGACAAGACAGTAGATCAGGAGGAGAGAGGAAGTCTCGAGAGTGCAGTCATGTGGAAGCGGACTTGGCTCCAGAAGACTCTGAGTCCTAACAAGTACCCCACCTCCGACTACGGGGCAAGTCGGCGGACAGGCAAGCCCATGTGAGCAGGCACACCGCAAGGCAGTCAAGAGGAGGAACAGGAGCAGGAGCGCACGGGTCATCTTCTGGCATTGGCTCCCTCTTGTGTGGCGCATGCCTTCTGAATTGGAACAAGCATAGAGCCTCAGCCACATTGACCATTGCTCCTTCCCCGCTCCGGGTCGCCTCATTTGGCTCTATTAATCTTCGACCGACACCGCGACCACCAATGGCCAGAGGAGCTGCCTAGAGGAAGGCCCAACACAGAGGCGTTCCTGCTGACCAGGCTGCATGCGGATGATTTCTTCGCCTGACGGTGGTAGCAAGGCTCACAAGGCTGATCCATTCAACATCCTTTGAACATTTACAGAGTTCCATCTCAATCGACAAAGAGCTGCTGCAGTTGACATGGATTGCCTTAAAGAAAGGAACTACCAAACTCGAATCCATCAATAGAATGCAACAGCTTTACTTTGAACGCACGCCCCCAACGTGAGCGCCTCAAACTCTGACTGCGTCTCCTGATTTGATTGCTCAAGCGCTCGCTCTCGCGGCTGCTTACTTTACTTTACCCCTCCTTTTCACCCAACCTCTGCCGTCAGCCCCCATCTACAAAACACTTGGGGGCCTGTGGGAACGCGCCGGGATCAAAAAAGCAATCAGCAACAATCCAAGGACAATTTGCTGTCCTGTGGAGCATTTCTCTTCGGATTCTCCGGGGGGC